TTCTCCAGTTCCTCCAGATCATTTTGAATGCTAAGCCTAACAGCCAAAGCACTTGCCACCCCTCCCAGCTTGGTATCATCCGCAAACTTTGTAAGTGTACTCTCTATGCCATTATCTAAATCATTGATGAAGATGTTGAACAGAACTGGACCTAGAACTGATCCCTCTGGGACCCCACTTGATATGCCCTTCCAGCTTCACTGTGAACCACTGATGATTACTCTCTGGGAAGGAAACCCATTTTAACATGTAATGTACCCAGGCTAGTTCCTACAGAAAGAATCGTATTGACAGAGAAGACATCTTCATCCATCAGAGCAGTGATTTTCTTTTGTTGGCCAGTTTCATGAATTTGTCCAGATTCTTTTGAGTTGTCCCACTTAATATATCAAGGTTAGATAAGAAGCTCTGGAGTAACATACCAATAGAGAAAGAAACAAGCAGACCAAAAAGGTGAAAGATCTCCCACAAGCCACATCTACTGGAAGAAAAGATTGGAAGATTTTTTATTCTCTTAGATCTGGCTCTTTGGTGGAACTCCTTGTGATCGAATGCACCCCTGTATTCACAACCTGCACGCTACTGTAACAATCTTTGTACAGAATATGCTTTGTGAGTATCCTTTGCAAACTAATAACTGACTGGTCAATAATATCATGGTGAAGTGTATGCAGCAACATTGTGTGTAAATCTATGAAACCCCCCATCTAATGTTAAGGGGCTATGTTCAAACTCATGTAGTACTAATTAGGCACAACTGGTCAAGCAGGTCTAACAACAAAGTGATGTGTGGTTACCTCAATTTGCTTATAAGCTGTAAGCAGAGTCCTCAGCAAGAGAAAAAAGAAGGGAGACAAAGAAAATCTGTATCTCAGCATAAACAGGTTAAAACAGCATGAAGAATCTTTCCTAACTAGCCTCCATGTCTCCATATGCTCAGCTGAATAGTACATATATAGTTCCACCCCCTCATAAAGTTATATTCAGCTGCGCAGAAAGAGACAAGGAGGTTAATCAGTTCACTAATGTCACAAGATCACTAGTATCAGACTGCTACTCTCTAAGATTTCATACAAAACCACTCTGAGGACTGAGCACTATAGTTATTCCATTTTTAAGTGCCCAAGAAGTCCAGAGGGAAACATCCTATGGGCTTAAAGTGAGAACTGTTGCAATTATGAATCTAGGATCATGCTCCATCACCACAAAAGTTTCAGATGGCAGATTGCAAACCAAGCCTCCTAGCAGAGCTGACAGGAACCATTACCCTGTGGAAAATTAGGGAAGATAAGACATAGGAAAAGGAGAAGTGAGTCGGCCCCTCTGTTCATCAGACTGAACAGTGGTACGTTACATTACTGCTAATCAGAAAGAACATTATCTTCCCCTCCTGTAATGTTTTTATTCCTTCTATACACTGAAAATATCTTCCATTTTACTGTCTGTTAAAATGTTTTTAAAATAATCTCAAAATTTTCTCAGGTCATTGCCACATGCATCTCCTCTAGGGTAAATATTGGGAACTGAGCAGGAGAGAGAAGGCAGGCATAAAAAAAAAACTGTGCTTCTATTTATCATTGCTGCCTGTCAGTCTTAGAGAAGAATGTTACCCATTAGTTCCAGGTTGGTGAAATCTGAAGGTGCAGAAGTTAGTATTACTCTCCCAATGCTGTTTGTAATTTTAAGAAGCCTCAACATCCAATGCCTTCATCTTTGTTCAGATTTTTTTTAATAAAAGGAGGTCACAGTTATGGGGGTGACTGCACCTTTTTCCCCACTCCACCCCCTTCTTGTGTACCCTTTCAAGCCACAGGCTCTGTGCCACTACTTGTGGTCCCTCATGATTCTCCCACTCACAGACTGGGTCCTTGGGCTACACCACCAGTTTACCAGCCATGTTTTCTCAGCAGGTCCACCTGGGTTTGACACCTGCAAGAGACTGTCTTTTGGGAGCTGTGACTAGTGGGTAAATGCTGTGACTCAGAACTTAAAAAAAAAAAAGAAAGGATTATTCATTTATCCGCAGGAAAATAGTGCTTAGAGAAAAGGGTTAAAACAACAGAAAAGTCTACATGCATTTCATCATACCTAAAGTTTAGTATTTTCCTCAAAGCTTAGGCAGGCAGCCCCAATTTATCTCAGGTACCCCTCATTCTGAGAACTGGATTCAGTCTTCTTCCCTGCAGACACTGCCTCCAAGTCTCCGGTCTTCCCTGAACTTCAACCACTTTGTTCTCTGTGTCTGCAAGATGGGACTCTTTTCCCCTTGCCAAACTCACCTGATGAATGCACTGGAGGTGGAGGTACACTATCAAACAGAAGAGTCCACTCATTGTCTCATAAGTATTAGCCAACCATCTACAACCTGAAACCACTGTACTCCTTTCCTTGGGATTTGCAAGTAACTCCTTGTCAGCGTATGACAGACCCCATCATAACAAATCGAACAAAATAGGTACACATAATATTCATAAAAATAATACACCCGCCTCCCACATTTTTCACAAAGCATATAACAGTTACTCTTGCCCAGTACATAGAAAGTCAATGTGCCATTACTGGGTGACCATGATTAACAGACTTTACTTTGTCCCTTAGAATTAGTGTCAAATTATTTCTGTTTGCATTTACCAAGTTCTACATCAGTTGTGCAAACACAGACATAAACCTTTGTTTTCAACTGCCAGTCAAAAGAAATGTAGATGCTAGATGGACTTATCAGTTGAAACTCAACGGGAACACTGATAACGCTGAAGATATTTAAAAAAAAAATTGTATTATAATCTGTGACCACAGCTAGTGTACTGAGATGGATTTGTGGATTACAGCAGGATTGCACTTCTCAAGATCACATTTATGATGGGGAAGACTTTCAAAGGCACAAAAGGCAGTCAGTAAAAGTCACTGGGACTTGGCCAGGCCATCTATTAAACATTTGTGCCTTTGAAAAAACTCCCAGGGCCCTAAAGTACTGAGAACTAGTATGTAGATGAGCACCAAATACTGTTCTTCAGAACTGTATTTTAAACATAAAAAAGTTTAAATTTAAATAAAGACAATTGAGGTCAATACCATTGAAAAGACAGGCTACTAGATGTTTCCAAAGAAATAATGTGCCTGGCAACCGGCTTGTAGAAAACCCTACCACCTTTTGTATCCAAGGGTACGGAGAGAATGAATTCCCAGGGTTCTAACAGGTTACAAATGGCAATTGCAGCTAAGACATTAATATAACCTTGTCATTCTAATTATAATGCTGCTGCCAACCTGTGCCACTGGAGTACATTGAAAACCAGAACTTTGTTTAAAGAGATAATAGCACATTATTATCTAGAGTGACAGTGTTTTACATTTTATTTCAGGCAAGTCTAATAGTTTTAAATGAGTTTTGTAAAACACTAAAAAACAAACAGCATCTAGGTTTTTACTTTTAACAGTACAACATGACATCATGAAAGGCTGAAGTAAATGTGTGCTATTTTGCATACCATCAGTTTAATGTAATCTGTTGCACAGAATGAGTGCTAATTATGTTCCCTATCCAGAATTCCAAAGCACAATAAAGATGCTTGTATTTGTAAGGAATAGAAGTCCCCCAGTGTTCTTCATCATTCCATAACATATGGATGAACAGTCAGTTCTGACGACAGATTTTATTACATATTTTCAGATTTATTCACACACACTAAGAAATTTTTAGTTGGTTTCCATCAGAAAAGTTCACATAAAGCATCAGAGCAACATATTTGAATTGGCTAGTGATTCTGAATTGATAAACAGGAAGAGATTTTGGGGTTATAAAGTTGAAATGTAACTTTCATTTAACTCTTTGAATGTCGTACCTGCCTTGCATGCATAAGGCAATTATTTTGCAAGACTCCACTTCTGCCATGACTCATACAGGAAACTAGCTGACCAATGGCAAGTTTGAATAGTCACTGGCAATAGCTGGTATAAAGAGAATATAAAAAGCAGACACTGATAACATAACCTTTTATTACCAATAAATGGTCAATCACCACCTTAACCACTATATTTTATGGTGTACTGTTTTCCCTTTTACCCTGTCTTTAGCTTCTGAGCTCCTTAAGGCAAAGAATATGCCTTCATTTCTGTTTGGAGAGCACCTAACACATTGTGAACATGACCAAATTGAACATTACCTAAAATAAATGTAATAAGGAACTTCTTTCTTCTCTTTTTCTATGGTATATGAACTCCACAAGACCATAATAAAACCTTTAATTGATATTATTATTTCATATTTATATCACAGTATCATATAGTGGTACTGGTCACAATAGAATCAATTGTGCTAGGCTCTGAAAATGTACATAACCCTATCCTGTAGTGGGAGGGTGGCCCTTGTGAAAATCAGTTTCCTTTTATATATCTCAAATTGGGAACCCAAAAACGCTCAGGCAGGCACCAAAAATCACTAGTTACTATTGAAATGTTAAACCACATGCACATTTCAAAATGTGATATGTATATACATGTCTATGATTTAAACCTGTACTTTGAGTGTGGGATTGATTTCTACAGCAGTTTAATCTCTACATCACACCGAGCCACCAATATACACAAACATTTCTCGTGTCATCTCTACCGGATACCGGAGAAATTCTTCAGTCTCCATTTTGCATTCCTGACTGAACAAGTAGGTTCACACCATTATTGGAAGCTGCAGGTCACATGAACAAGAGTAGGCTAAAGATTGCATCGCCTGGTAAACAGATTTCTCGGCATGTACAGTTCGAAAGTAGGGGAGAGGTCAGAAGTAAACAACAGCAGTGAGCATGCATGGAATGTTGGCACATGTTCAAGAGATGAGGTGATGCTGGCATGCATTCAAAAATGTGAGGTATTGTTGACATGAGTTCAAGAATGTTTGGTATTGAGCATGTACAGCACGTGCAATAAAGATCTGATGAGGTAATTAATCTAGAAAGTTCTGAAAGGACAGTATAAAGGTCAGTGTGCCAGTGGGCAGAAAACAGAGTGCTAGTAGAGAGCTGCTGAAGGATGAAGGGACCAGACCTTGGATGGAGAAGTGGTGCCGAGCAGAGCTGAGACTGATAGCTGACTGGAGCGGATGGTGGCAGCAGCAGCTACAGCAGATAACACAGTAAACCCAACAGGACAGAGTGAGCCTGTCAGTTTTAATTACATTATTGTAGAGTATAGAGTAGTATTAGTATGTGTGTGTGTATTAATGAAGATGCATGAGTGTGCGCTAATTGTAATTTGTATATGAAAAACTTAAAGTACAATTTAAGGACTGGTTTCAGAGTAGCAGCCGTGTTAGTCTGTATTCGCAAACAGAAAAGGAGGACTTGTGGCACCTTAGAGACTAGCCAATTTATTTGAGCATAAGCTTTTGTGAGCTACAGCTCACATCCGATGAAGTGAGCTGTAGCTCACGACAGCTTATGCTCAAATAAATTTGTTAGTCTCTAAGGTGCCACAAGTCCTCCTTTTCAATTTAAAGACTGTCAGCAATCTGTAACAGACTGGCCATCTGTGACAGGATGCAACCACTTAGAATCCTCTCAGCTGTACGTTATTGCAGTTGGGATGCTCTTTAACTTGCTGAAGGGATTTGTGTTTTTAGATTACTACTGTATTAGGGATTATGGTTTCTACTAACAAAAAGGCATCTTGTTTTGGAAAAGAATACTGCTTGTGTCAACCAATCATTTACCAGAATGTCTGTGTCCTTCAATAATGACAGGTTTCAGAGTAACAGCGTTGTTCTTCACAAAAAGAAAAGGAGTACTTGTGGCACCTTAGAGACTAACCAATTTATTTGAGCATAAGCTTTCGTGAGCTACAGCTCACTTCATCAGATGCATACTGTGGAAAATACAGAAGATGTTCTTATATATACAAACCATGAAAAAATGGGTGTTTACCACTACAAAAGGTTTTCTCTCCCCCCACCCCACTCTCCTGCTGGTAATAGCTTATCTAAAGTGATCACTCTCCTTACAATGTGTATGATAATCAAGGTGGGCCATTTCCAGCACTAATCCAGGTTTTCTCCCCACCCCCACCCCACAAACCCACTCTCCTGTTGGTAATAGCTTATCTAAAGTGATCACTCTCCTTACAATGTGTATGATAATCAAGGTGGGCCATTTCCAGCACAAATCCAGGGTTTACCAAGAACGTCTGAGCAATGGGGGGGTGGGGTAGGAAAAAACAAGGGGAAATAGGTTACCTTGCATAATGACTTAGCCACTCCCAGTCTCTATTCAAGCCTAAGTTAATTCCAATTCAACAGTCTCTTGCTGGAGTCTGGTTTTGAAGTTTTTCTGTTGTAGTATAGCAACTTTCATGTCTGTAATCGCATGACCAGAGAGATTGAAGTGTTCTCCAACTGGTTTAAAGTCCATCTTTGTGTGGAATGTTGGTGTAGAGGGCTTCTACATCCATAGTGGCCAGGATGGTGTTATCAGGAAGAGAACTGATGGAACAGAGGGTAATGGCTTGTAGAAAGTGGTGTTGGAGAGCTGCCGAGCAGCCTCTTGTTCATATTCCGACCTATTCATGATGACAACAGCACCTCCTTTGTCAGCCTTTTTGATTATGATGTCAGAGTTGTTTCTGAGGCTGTGGATGGCATTGTGTTCTGCACGGCTGAGGTTGTGGGGCAAGTGATGCTGCTTTTCCACAATTTCAGCCCATGCACATCGGCGGAAGCACTCTATGTAGAAGTCCAGTCTGCTGTCTCAACCTTCAGGAGGAGTCCACCTAGAATCCTTCTTTTTGTAGTGTTGGTAGGGAGCTCTCTGTGGATTAGTATGTTGTTCAGAGGTGTGTTGGAAATATTCCCTGAGTCGGAGACGTCGAAAATAGGATTCTAGGTCACCACAGAACTGTATCATGTTCGTGGGGGTGGAGGGGCAGAAGGAGAGGCCCCGAGATAGGACAGCTGCTTCTGCTGGGCTAAGAGTATAGTTGGATAGGTTAACAATATTGCTGGGTGGGTTGAGGGAACCATTGCTGTGGCCCCTTCTACAAGCCATTACCCTCTGATCCCACTGAGAGTTACCAAAAGAAACTACAGCATTTGGTCAAGAAACTCCCTGAGAAAGCACAAGATCAAATCCGCACAGACACACCCCTAGAACCTCGACCTGGGATATTCTATCTGCTACCCAAATCCATAAACCTGGAAATCCTGGGCGCCCCATCATCTCGGGCACTGGCACCCTGACAGCAGGATTGTCTGGCTTTGTAGACTCCCTCCTCAGGCCCTACGCTGCCAGCACTCCCAGCTATCTTCGAGACACCACTGACTTCCTGAGGAAACTACAATCCATCGGTGATCTTCCTGAAAACACCATCCTGGCCACTGTGGATGTAGAAGCCCTCTACACCAACATTCCACACAAAGATGGACTACAAGCCGTCAAGAACACTATCCCCGATAATGTCACGGCTAACCTGGTGGCTGAACTTTGTGACTTTGTCCTTACCCGTAACTATTTTACATTTGGGGACAATGTATACCTTCAAATCAGCAGCACTGCTATGGGTACCCACATGGCCCCACAGTATGCCAACATTTTTATGGCTGACTTAGAACAATGCTTCCTCAGCTCTCATCCCCTAACACCCCTACTCTACTTGCGCTATATTGATGACATCTTCATCATCTGGACCCATGGAAAAGAAGCCCTTGAGGAATTCCACCATGATTTCAACAATTTCCATCCCACCATCAACCTCAGCCTGGTCCAGTCCACACAAGAGATCCACTTCTTGGACACTACAGTGCTAATAAACAATGGTCACATAAACACCGCCCTATATCGGAAACCTACTGACCACTATTCCTACCTACATGCCTCCAGCTTTCACCCTGACCACACCACAAGATCCATTGTCTACAGCCAAGCTCTGCAATACAACCACATTTGCTCCAACCCCTCAGATAGAGACAAACACCTACAAGATCTCTATCAAGCAATACCCACCTGCGGAAGTGAAGAAACAGATTGATAGAGCCAGAAGAGTACCCAGAAGTCACCTACTACAGGACAGGCCTAACAAAGAAAATAACAGAACGCCACTAGCCGTCACCTTCAGCCCCCAACTAAAACCCCTCCAACGCATTATTAAGGATCTACAACCTATCCTGAAGGATGACCAAACACTCTCACAAATCTTGGGAGACAGGCCAGTCCTTGCCTACAGACAGCCCCCCCAACCAACTCACCAGCAACCACATACCACACAACAGAACCACTAACCCAGGAACCTATCCTTGCAACAAAGCCTGTTGCCAACTGTGCCCACATATCTATTCAAGGGACACCACCAAAGGGCCTAATAACATCAGCCACACTATCAGAGGCTCGTTCACCTGCACATCTACCAATGTGATATATGCCATCATGTGCCAGCAATGCCCCTCTGCCATGTACATTGGTCAAACTGGACAGTCTCTACGTAAAAGAATAAATGGACACAAATCAGATGTCAAGAATTATAACTTTCACAAACCAGTCGGAGAACACTTCAATCTCTCTGGTCACACGATTACAGACATGAAAGTTGCAATATTACAACAGAAAAACTTCAAAACCAGACTCCAGGGAGAAACTGCTGAATTGGAATTCATTTGCAAATTGGATACTATTAACTTAGGCTTGAATAGAGACTGGGAGTGGCTAAGTCATTATGCAAGGTAAACTATTTCCCCTTGTTTTTTCCTCCCCCTCCCCCCCCCTTCCTCAGACGTTCTTGTTAAACCCTGGATTTGTGCTGGAAATGGCCCACCTTGATTATCATACACATTGTAAGGAGAGTGATCACTTTAGATAAGCTATTACCAACAGGAGAGTGGGTTTGTGGGGTTGGGGTGGGGAGAAAACCTGGATTTGTGCTGGAAATGGCCCACCTTGATTATCATACACATTGTAAGGAGAGTGATCACTTTAGATAAGCTATTACCAGCAGGAGAGTGGGATGGAGGGAGAGAAAACCTTTTGTAGTGGTAAACACCCATTTTTTCATGGTTTGTATGTATAAGAACATCTTCTGTATTTTCCACAGTATGCATCCGATGAAGTGAGCTGTAGCTCACGAAAGCTTATGTTCAAATAAATTGGTTAGTCTCTAAGGTGCCACAAGTACTCCTTTTCTTTTTGTGTCCTTCAAGTATTTCCTTGACTACCCTGGAGACCCATACCTTAAGAGAACAGATTGGTGAACAGGTGGGCTGTTGTAAGGGAAAACCTTTATGGGGATATTTAAATTCTATCCACACAGGGAAAAACTGTTAGGGGATATTTAAAAATTCACTTGTTTTGAGGGAATCCCTTGGTAAGCCCCGGAGGGGGAAATAAACCAGTTATATTCTGGGGGTACCCTAATTCTGTTTTCAGGGTAACGCACCTACAACACATTATTTCTTTCTTTACCATTCAAGATCCTTCCCAGCATGTCAATTTGGAAATGTAACAAAAACCAACGTCATACTATCAAATCATAATCCCCCTTTAGTCAACTTGTAAATCAGGCAAGTTCTAGGTTGATGGTTCAGAATTTGAGTTTCCAAGTGAATTTTTGCTTCATTAGATTAGGACTGCCAGCAATCTAGAGTGATAGCTTCTAATTAGCACTCTAAATATATAATGTGTGGATGTAAGTCTTTAACCAAATAGTTTAGCTCATGTAGGAGGAATCTGAATTTCTGAACCAAAAAATATCCTGAATTCTTTCCCCACTGATGACTAATGTTCATGTGCCCATAATGTGTATGTGGTATAAATTGCAACTGTGAAGAGTATGTGAGCAGACAATCACTATATGATAAGATAGAATCATAGAATCATAGAATCATAGAATATCAGGGTTGGAAGGGACCCCAGAAGGTCATCTAGTCCAACCCCCTGCTCAAAGCAGGACCAATTCCCAGTTAAATCATCCCAGCCAGGGCTTTGTCAAGCCTGACCTTAAAAACCTCTAAGGAAGGAGATTCTACCACCTCCCTAGGTAACGCATTCCAGTGTTTCACCACCCTCTTAGTGAAAAAGTTTTTCCTAATATCCAATCTAAACCTCCCACACTGCAACTTGAGACCATTACTCCTCGTTCTGTCATCTGCTACCATTGAGAACAGTCTAGAGCCATCCTCTTTGG